GGTGTCCCATCATGGCAGCTGGTAGGTGTCTTTCAGAGGTTAAGGCCACAGAGAAGGCAGACACAACACGAAGACAGAGAGGTCAGCCTTTCCATCTTGTTCCTGTCACCTGTCGGGCACCTGAAGATCTATGTGAGGAGTCAGTGTTTTAGCCAACGTGGCCTTGGAATTCTGTTGTCACCATAACCCACCTGGCTGGGGGCTGTCCATGGGGTGGCTCACGGGAGACTCAGGATGCACCAGTGTCACTTCCACATAGGGATCTTGGTTTTCTTTTGATTTCAGAAGCCTTCCCTTTTTAATTCCAGGGAGCCAAGTGTACACGCCTGCTGGCTTATTGAAGTGGTTACGGAAGGACAAGAGGATTAATATTTAATGAAACTAAGTCTTCCAAGTAGAAGATTGTCCTGGTGTTTGTGTGTTTGCACGTTATTCCAGGCCATGGGGATAACTGGTGTTTGGATGTCAGCGTAGACATGTCACAACTTCCCTCCCACAGAGTTCGGAGGGAAGGGTTGGCCCCTGCCTTCAGTGCTTGGTGACGGGGCTGATTGAATTGTTGGTGCAAGTCGTTCCAGGATGTATGTGTGCTCAGGTGGTTATAGGTCAGAAGTGCAAATGCAGAATGGTCTCTGGAAACCCAAAAAGCAAAAGTGACCCCTTGCTCAGCGTGGCTAAAGGCTATGGTCATTTGTAGGCAAACCCCGTGGAAACAGACCCAGTGATTTTTAAGTCACCTAAAAGCAAGCGAGCAGAGAGGGTTTATTTCGTTTTGTCATCAGTTACGTGGGCATATATCAGACTGATTTACCACCCTTACCATCACCAACAATTACCAGTAAAAACAATTATTGTCATTTGTTGATGGCTTGAAAAAACAAGGCCCTAGGTGCCTTTCACAAGTGATCTGATGTGATCCTGTACTTCTCCTGTGGCGTGGGTCACTGTCACTGCCTTACACACGAAGATGTACAGTTAGTCTTTTTTTTTTTTTTTTTTGCATTACTGGGCATGAATTCAGGGCCTACTCCTGAACCACTCCACCAGCCCTTTTTCTGTGATTTTTTTTTTTTGACATAGGGTCTCGAGAACTAGTTGCCTGGGTTGGCTTTGAACCATGATCCTCCTGATCTCTGCCTTCTGAGTAGCTGGGATTACAGGCGTGAGCCACTGGCACCCAGCTCAGCTGATTGCTGTTTAAAAACTAAGAGTGGGAGCCTCAGCCTTCATTTTGACCATGTTAAGTTTATACTCTCCTCTTTGAACAGGGCTGAGACACAAACCGGAGTCTACCCTGACTTATGCTATAGCAATGCTGAGACAATGGTAGGGCATCTCTGCCTGCTGTGTAGACAGTGGGGCGTCTCTGCCTGGTGTGTGGATGGCCTCCTTCCTGCTGGGTCTTCTTGGGGCCTTTCTCTGTGTGGTGAGAGAGAGAACATGGCGGCCTTCTTCTTTCTGTAGGTCTGGTGGTGCTGTGCAATAGGGCCGGGCTCTTATTTTCTCATTTAACGTTGGCTTCCCACCTTACAGGCCCTGTGCCCAAGTACACTGGCGGTTAGGACTTCAACGTACGGATTTTGGGGGACTCAATTCCATCTGTGATGGGGGGAGGCGTTCCAGATGGAGGCAGTGCTGTGGTAGAGCGAGAAGGATGGAAGTGTGTGGCGCGGGGTGAGGTTGCGGGGTGGGGGAGGCAGAAGACATGTCTCAAGTGCTTCCTGGACCTCATCTTAAGGATTTGCTGTTGGACAAGGCAGCCCAGGGTTAAGAGGAGGTCTGGAGTTTAACACCCGAGACTTTGGGCAGGTCACTTACTCTGAATCTCAGTTTACCCATTATAAAAGCAGGAATTATAACCTGTAACTTCCTGGATTGTTGTATTATGTGAGATAATAATGATCACAAAATAGCTTAGAAGTCAAAACACAATGTATAATACTGAGATTTTAAAAACTTAAAAAAAAATTTTTTTCTGAGCTGGTGGCTCATATCTGTAATCCTAGCAACTCAGGAGGCAGAAATCAGGAGGATCATGGTTCAAAGCCAGCTCCTGGTAAATAGTTCTTGAGAACCTATCTCTAAAAAACCTATCACCAAAATGAGCTGATAGAGTGGCTCGAGGTGGAGTGCCTGTCTTAGCAAGTGTGAGGCGCTGAGTTCAAACGCCAGTGCCATTCAAAAACATTCCGCACACTAGCTAGTGCCACCGTATGAAGTCAGTGGCCCCTTGTGGACCACTGAGTCTCTCCTAAAGTGCCCGCACTCTGTGACCTTTTAAAAAGAAGTGACGGGATTAAAGGGAGAGCCAGGCTGCACTTCTGTTGAAGGAGTGATCTTCTGCTATTCCATCCTCATCATCCATTTCTTATTTGCTTTTCCCTGGCAGAATTACTCCCAGCAGTCCACAGCCAGCCTCTCTGTCTTCCAGGCGGGAGAGTAGACTGACTAATAGCACTTCCCAGCTCAGTGAGCTCTCTCTCTGCTGTCCTTCTTGTGAAGGAATTTCTGACCGATCCAGAAAGAAGCGATCATTTCCACTGTGCGTTGTCCTTGTCATCCTTCTGTGCAAAATATGCATGGGCTTGCTTATTTAGGAGGTGTGGCCTGTGAAGAAAAAAAGTCTGTGTTTATAGTTGTATGTATTTTAATATATCTGTACTTCACACTCCTCATTTTTCAGGGTGGTTTGTTTTTGGTTTTAAGAAAGGCCCTTTCAATCCTTAAAGCATTTAAATCATCCACGGCAGTCAGGACTTGCTGACAGACCTGTGTATCTCATCAGCTGAGGACCTGCTTATTTCTGTTTCCTTGGTTTTTTGCTTTATTTAATCAGAAGTTCCAGCCTTGTTCTTACAGGGTTTTGTTCACAGTGGTTTGATTAATACTACATAATAAAATATTCTCAACAGCAGCCCATAGTTTCAATTGCTTTTCAGTAAAGAAGAGAGAATTAAAGAGAGATTTAAACCAAAGAAGCCAATGAGGGCTCCCAGGGTGGAAGCCCAGCCACCAGGCCCCCTCCAGGTGACATTTTATTTACCCTCAGCCTTAAAGCAGCAATGTGACTGTCTTCAGGACAGGTGCAGAGTTCTTTCCTTGAAGCATTTATTTTATTTTACTTACATATTTTCTTTTGTTGGTGCAGTTTGAACTCAGGGCCTCACACTGGCTAGGCTGGTGCTCTACCACTTGAGCCACTCCACCAACCTGAGTTCTTTTCTTAGAAACACAGTTAATCTAAGTGATCGTGGGATGATGAAGGTGACTGAGCCATGATCCCCCACACCAGCACTTTTAGAGGTACCTCAGACATACGAGTGGGCCTGGCTTACGTTCCAGAAAATCAGAAGTTAGTATATATGAACACACTTTCTCCTGGCATTAAAAAACCCTAGCCTGTTACTTAGCTGCTTGCTAAGAATAAAGACACTAACGTGTAGCAAGAAATATAAATGTAGAAATTAGTCCTTGACTGTCCCTGTGGGCGCTCCATACTGCCACCTACTGGATGAATCTCAGGTTTACTTGTCCATTAGAATCACAGGGAAGGAAATGAGCAAGGCGAATTGATTTTTTTTTAGTTTCATTTTATTATTTTATTCTGGCGTCAATCCCAGGGTGTCACACATACCCGACACTACTGTACCACTGGACGACATCCCCAACCCTGAGCAAAGTGAAGTTTATCATAACCTGTGATGATAAGGTCATGGTTACTTGTTTTAACATAAGGTAGGGGGTGTAAAACACATGAGTTCTAAGTGGGAAAAGTCCCAGGCACTCGTGTGATGGTTAAGAAAAGCCCCACCAGCTTGTTCACAAGTGAGTTATTTTATTCAGACATCTAGAAGCCAGGCAAAGCATTTAGATGATACCTGGTATATCTTTAAATTACGTTGAAAAGCTTCTGTTAATCCCTTCACACCAGAATTCATAAAAATATCTAAAATGAGAAGCTGCAAAGCACTGGGGAAGGAAGGTGACATTGAACTTCCTAACCAGTAGGTAAATGAAATACAGGCAGAAGATGGGGAGTGTTGTGGAGGTGGGGACCAAGCAGAGGTGAGTGTCCTGCCCACATGGCCCTCCCAGCAGTGCAGCCAGAGGAGGCAGGGAGCCCCAGGCCCCTACCTTCTACTGCACAGCCCTCTTACTTCCCTCCATCGCCTGGCTAAGGAGCAAGCACAAAGCAGCTGAGTTTCCTGCCTGCTGATGGCATTTCTCCTGTCTGGTGTCGTCACTGCTTGCTCTGTGTTAAGTGACACAGAGACAGATGAGATCCTGGCCCACTCTCTCATGTCTGCCACCTGTGATGGCCCTGACATGTCCTGGTGTGCTCACCAGGCTGGGAAATAGGCCAGTTGGAGAAGCAAGTGGTATATTTTACTTCCAAAGACTAGAGCCTGAGGTCCTCCTATCCTCAGGTCCCCGTCAGTGCCACTTTGAAAGATGTTACATAGCCAGGGCTTCGAGGTATGCCTGTCCTCGAAAGCCATAAGAACAGCTGCAGCAGCAGCAGACACAGTTGCTTTCTCTCTAAAATAGCTACTCAGGAAACAGCAAACTGGAGCTTGTACTCCAACCTCATTCTCTCTCTCTCTCTCTCTCAGCCCTTTTTGCTTTAGTTATTTTTCAGGTAAGATCTCCTGTTTTTGCCTGGGTCAGCCTCAGACTCCAGTCCTCTTACTTATGGCCTACTGTGTAGCTGCAATGACAGACATACACCACGACCCCCAACTTACCATTGAAGTGGGGTCTCACTATTTGCCTGGGCTGGCCTTGAACTGTGATCCTCCTGATCTCTGCCTCCCTTATAGCTTGGATTACAGGCCTGAGCCACTGCGCCTGGCCAGTGTTTTCTCTTTAAAAGATCTCGGAAGACTCTGTATCGCTGCATGATAATTAGTTGGCCCCGCTGCAGACAGGTGCAGGTGTGTTCTGCACCTCAGCCTGTGTCTGTGTGTAACTTACAGCTGTGTGCTGGGACTTTCTTGCAGCCCTCGCTTGGTGTGAAGAAACCTACCAAAGCCCTGCTCTTCGTCATCCTGAGCCCAGTGGGGCCTTATTTTTCCAGTGGGACCTTCAACCCCGTGTCCCTGTGGGCTGATCCCAAATATGTCAGAGCTTGGGAAGGTGGAACCGGAGACTACAAAATCGGAGGGTAAGTCCGTCCGTTCGTCTGTTTGTCCATCTGAAGGAAAGAGTCCCTCATGATCGTTTTGCCATGGGCACTCACCCCTGGCCTGTTTGATTTTCAGTTGTGTAAATGTGCGTGCCATGTAAAGGATAAGCCAGGGCCTGCTGTAAGGTACAAGCATGAGCTGTGACACATAGACCGGAAGCACAGTAAGTAGAGCAGGGCCTGAAGCCTGGCCTCCAGGGAGCTGCCCATGGGCACCATCCACAGGCCATAGGCTGTGCTTGGCACCTGGCCCTGGGATTTGGGCTCCCACTGGCTGAGAGACTCTTGTCTGGGGAAGTCACCTGATCTCTGGAGCGCTGTCCTCATGGCCGCAAACTGAGGCCACACCTGCTGCAAACTGGCCGAGGGACAGTCTGCTTTGGCTGTTAGGCTTGTCTCATAGGCCACATGTTGCTGGTAGGAAAGAAAAGAGCAGCTGCAAAGTGTAGGGCAGTTTTGAGGGTGGTCTTGGCCTTGAGTCAGGGTGCCCCTGGGCGAGTGAGCACAGCAATGTTTCCTGGGGTCTCCTTCGTGTGTGTCAGTGGTAACCTGCTTTGCACACTAGGGCAGGGACAGTTCTGGATGGTGCCTCAGTGCCTCACTAGCCCCCTCCTGAGACATTTAGGGGGCCACAGAGTCAGATGTTACACTGGCTTTGCGTGGTGTCCGCCCGCCCTTTCTACAGTTAGAAAGTTTTGGGAGCTTTGTTCATGGCAGGCTTTGTGGGGCAAATGCAGATGTGGAGTCTTAAGTCCAAAACTGCCCTGGCCTTAGTCCTGCTGGTTGCTGTGTGTTAAGTTGTCACAGCTTTGTCGCCTTTGGGCATTAGAGAGATGACACCTGCCTACCCTCCTCCTCCAGATAGGGAGGGGCACCCTGCACCGAGATTAAAAACATTTCAGAAGCGCGAATATGTTATTTGACTGACTTTATAACACTGTGGGTTAGTACTCCATCAATAGGTGCAAGTGTTTGTGTATCAGTGAAATAAAAAATAAACAAGTAAAATATAACACCATGGGCTCCCATGGTAAGCCACCAAACAGCCAAAGTTTCAGGAAGAGAATAGTCACTGAGCCATTACAGCAGTGTCAGGCACAGGACAAAATCTTAGCCTAGGGAAGGCGTTCCTCTCCTGCTTTGAGACTCGCTTGGGTCTGCTGAGTAAATGGCGAGGCTCTGACTTATGAAATCCTTCATGACTGAGTAATATTCCACTATAAATTTCATATTTTCTTTATCCAGCCATCAGTTGTTGGGCACATGGGCTGATTCCACAGTTTGGCTTTGTGAACAGAGCTGCTGTAAACACGGTGTGCAGGTGTCTCTCTTATCTGCTGATTTCCACGCCTTCAGGTGTATGCCCAAGAGTGTATGGTGGGACCATAAGGCAGGTGTAGTTTCTTATTTTGAGGCACCTCCACCGTGATCTCCATGGTGGCTGGACTAGTTTACGTTCCCACCAGCAGTGTATGAGGGTTCTTCCTCACCCCACACCTTCGCCAGCATTTGTTGTTTGTATATAAAACCACCAAAAACTGATTGAGAAGCAGGGGGCATGGGGGTGGGGAGACGATGGAGGGGTGAACTTGTTCACAGCACACTGTGCACATGTGTGGGATTCTCACAATGAAACCCCCTCGGCTTATTCTGAAATATCACTAAAAATAATCGTTTTAGGTGACAGATTGCAACGGTGCAACACTCAGTCTATACTTGGTGTGGGGGGAGAGGGAGAAGGAGTCACCTGTATCAGAAAAAGCAGTTTTATCTCAGGTAATAAAAGACAGTTATGATACACTAAAGCCTTCAAGGGAATGGAATTATTTCTTTAAATAAAACTACAAAATAGCAAAGAGGAAAAGACATTAGTTTTCAAGTCCCATTTCCCGTCCTTTCTGTCTCAGAATGTCAGAAATGCCATGACAGAGGTCCCTGACAGCTGGGTTCCCATCCCCTGAGGACGGTTGACCCAACCTGCTGTTTTAGCCTCTTGTTTCCTCAGCAAAAATCTAGCTTCCTGCATCTCTTTCTTCCTTAGATTTACTGGCTGGTTTCTGCCTTGCTTCCCCCCTTAAATTTACATTTTGAAACAATTCTTTGAAAATTTCTGAATTTAGACAAAAGAAACCAAAACTGCTCTTTTTCTCAAGAAAATGGTATAGTTTATGCTTTTCTTACTGTCTGATCAAAACAGAACTAAATTTCTGTTTGTATTCCTTGCGTATAGAATTACTCATGTAATAGAAACACTGTGAAAACACACTGATAACGCAGTACGCGCACATGCGCGCACTCCCACAGCTCGTACCCAGCGACTGATGCTCAATGGACTCGTGCACATCAGCTTAGGAGCAACTCAGATGCTTCATCCCTGCAGCGCACATGTACTTATCCCATTCATATGGACCTGCTTTACACTTGGCAGTGAGTCCTCCATTACTGGTGAAAACTGAGCTAGAAGACAAGCGGGTCCACCATTCAGTCTTTGTCTTGTCGCAGAAAAGCCCTGAAATTGCCACAATGCACACACACAAAGGACTGGACCTTGCGTGGTGGGACATCACACAATTTGTTCTCAGGTCTTAGGTGTTTCAGAGTAATACAGTCCTGACAGCCAAAATCCCCGGCAAGTGTGTGCACCATTAGTTCTGAAGAGGACATCTTTATTTAACCAAGAAATTCAAATGAACTCATTTGTGCACCGGTCTATCTGTAAGCCACTTTGAATAGAATTCCCTAGGGGTTTTATCACATACAGGTATTAGCTTATTAAATGATAGTTTTATCTAAGCTATATTTAACATTTTTAGGCAAAGTCTTCATCTAGCAGCTTGTTTTGTTTTTGAAAGCCTCTTCTACCCATCCCCCCACCCCCACCGCTTAGTTTCAAGTAAGTTTAGGCAAAAAGTCCAGAAGGAAAAACAAAGGCATGTTTTTTAAATTAAGCACGCTAGTCAAACCAAAAAATTAAACTAGGCCCAAGAACCAAGTGTTAATTCGGTAGAAAAAGGCTGTAGCAATTTCTAAATTACACAGGAACTTCAGAAATCTCTTGTTAAAAAATCAGGGCCCATGAGCACCTCCGCCAGTGCTATTGCCAAGAAGTCTGGGATAGTTTACCATGCTGGGTCTCCCCACTGCTGTCTCCTGGGTCCATTTGTCTCGTTGCTAATACATACTGTGAATCCCCTTTTTGGGGACAGGGCAGTACTGATGTTTGAACTCAGGGCTTCGCACTTATAGGCAGGCACTCTATAAGTCCCACACCACCAGCCATTTCTGCTCTGGTTATTTTGAGATAGGGTCTCACTTTTTGCCCAGGCCAGCCTGACAGCAATCCTTCTGGTCTCAGTCTCCATTGTAGCTGGGATGACAGGTGTGAGCCACCACACCCAGCTGTTGGTTGAGATGGGGTCTTGTGAATTGTTCCCTGGGCTGGCCTTAAACTTGGATCCTCCCAGTTTCAGCCTCCCAGGCAGCAAGGGTGAAATCATCTCTTTCTTAGATGTAGAAAGGTAACTAAATTCAGACCATTTTTCCAGAACAGACTTTGGGTCCCCATCTCTGTTTGTGCACTAAGCACACATGCCCAAAGGCGCTACAGACACAGACATAAAACCGGGCAGAGTCGGACAGCCATTTCATCTGGCAGCAGTACTGGGTTTCAGATGGCAAAAGCCTCATCCAGGGGAGAAAGCAGCTCCTGACCTACCCAGGGCAGGAGCGCACCCAAATTGGCTCACCCAAATGTCCATTGTGTGTCAGGGGAAGATGCTTGGGCAGCCTGTGCTCTGACCAAGGACAGCAAGGGGCAGTTCCGAGGGACCTCCCATCACAGGGCCAGCTCTCCATGAGCATAAGGTTCCCTGGCTGGCTTGCCATTAGTTTTTACCAGACCCAAGTCTGGCTGCCTCGTGACAGATCAATTAAGTCAAGAAACAAGGTGCTTAGGCAGACGAGGTGAGTTTTTTCCCAAAAGCATGGAAGGCAGAGATGGAGGACTCTTGTCTGAAGTCATCTTGCCAAGAGGCTGACATAGGGGTAGTTCACTTAGGGGATGGGTGATTGCACACTGGGGGCATTTTCACAGGTGGAGGTTTGTGATCTAACCATGTGCCTGGTCCTAACTACTCAGTCATGGGATGCTTTTCAGTTCTGCAGATCTCAAGGGGAAAGGTCTTCATTTCCTTGGGCTGCACTTGTTACGTGCTATTCCTGACATGTGACCATAGGACACTCCTGTTAGCAGGAGCACGTGCTTGTAGGCTGTTTTCCTCTTTCTCCTTCCTCCTGATCTCAGCCTCCCAAGTAGCTGGGATTAGAGGCGTGAGCCACTGCACACACCCTTAGATGTACACACATTCTGCTTTTATCAGATTAACCCCTCTACTCCTCTTCCCCACTCCAGTGCTTCTTGACGGTGGCCACACTTGCAGGTGTGGAAAGGAACACCATTGGTTATTATGGAGGATGCAGGTCAGCTGAGGTTATTTAGGGAGTTGAGTGAGTTCTGGTTTCAACGGGCAGCTTCCAAAGTGGACGGGCACTCTGTGGAGCTGTGTGGGAGGTGCTTTCGTGGGCACAGAGAGAACCCCGTTGCAGCCTGTGGACTTGGGCACCACGTTTCCTGTGAGCTGCTCATAGCAGGAGACCCTGGAGGCGTGTAAGGGAGCTCTGTAGCTGCTGTTGACATTTTCTGTAAATATGTACAGGTGCTGTAAAACTGAAGTTTTGTTTCTGTGGAAGAATACCTAGACTCAGGCTCAGGTGGAGGTGAAAAACGGGAGCTGACTGGAAGCATCACAGGAGAGGAGACTCAGGGAGAGTGCAGTGGGGGTCACGCGTGCAATCACAGTGTGACTGTGACCAGTATGGCATTGTCACCCACAGCCTGTTGTCTCTCAGACCTCACAAAGCTCTCTGCTCCTGTGCTTCCAACCTCGAAAAATCCCAGGAAAATGAATGGCTCTGCATTGAGTACCGTGCAGTTTAGTTGACAGAGACATTTGGAGTCAAGTTCTAATTTGTGCATCCTTACTTCCCTAATCTTCAGCCCCAAGAACCTACATTGGTGGTGTTAAGTCACTATGGATTCTCCTAGTCACGGCCTCCTGCTGCCTTGGTGACTGAGCAGGGAGAGACTAGTTTTTTTCTTAATTGTAAGGTGGATCCACTGTTTGAAAGCCACTGGAGCTAACATTAGGCTCTTATTTCTCAGTGTGTGTGAGTGAGGACAGTGGTTCATGGTGCACAGGTGAAGGAGGGTCCTGCCACTGTAGGCCTCAGTGTGGCCGCACACTGAAGTCACCCGGGAGCTTTGACATGGGCTGGTGCCTGGTTCCACCTAGAGATTCTGGTTACCTTGGTCTGGAGGGTGGACTGAATCTCAGGGTTTTTTTGTGGGGGAGGGGGACTGGTTTTGAACTCTGGGTTTTGTACTTGTGAGGCAGGTAGTTCCAGCCCTTTTTACCCTGCTTACTTTGGAGATGGGGGTCTCTCTTTTTGTCCAGGCTGAATTGGACCAAAATCCAACTGTTTATACTTCCTGCCATTGCTGGGCTGAAGGTGTGCACCACCATCCCCAGTACTCATGAGCTTTTTTCCTGAGCTAGCCTCCAACCATGATCCTCCTGATCTCAACCTCCCAAGTAGGTAGGATTACAGGTGTGAGCCGCCAGGCTTGGCCTCTTTAAGTTTTAACTACTCTCATTGCCTTGTATTTGCCTGTGTTGCCTTCTTACTACTTTTCATATTAGGGTTCCATGATTTTGTTTCACTGCCTGTCACACAAATGTCTCTCGGGACATCTAGATTCTCGACTGAGTTTCTTTGAATGTTGTGGCGTTACTTGAGATCGTGTGTATATTAGAACCTCATGTGTTGACTACGTCCACGTGTGAATGAAAGACTCAAAGCCATGACAGTGTGGAAGATGTGGTGCTGTGGGTGACGTGTGTTCACAACCAGGTTTTCTCTTCTTTAAAGGAATTACGGCGCCTGTCTTCTGGCCCAGTGTGAAGCCGCAGAGAAGGGCTGTCAGCAGGTCCTGTGGCTCTATGGGAAGGACCAGCAGATCACTGAGGTCGGAACCATGAATCTCTTCCTGTACTGGATCAACGAAGAGGGAGGTAATCCCAGGATCTCAGCCCCGCGCTGCCTTCCCATCACGGTTAGGGGCCCGCAAGCGGGGCTAGACGATTACCAGGGCAGCGGGTGGCCCAGGTCAGGCTGCCCTCGCTGGGCAAGTGGACAACACTGTCACCAATAAGAGCGAAAAATCTGCACTTTTATTGTTTCCTGTTTTTGCTCTGATGCTAGAGTTACTAGAGGGGTCAGGTTAAGGGACGCCAGACATTGTGACTTAGACAGGCTTTGCCACCCCCTCGTATCCTGTCAGAACACCTGGATTGGGAGCTCAGCCTTCACCTGTGGGCAGGTCATCCACCATCCGTGGTCATGCCGGGCTACAGTCATAAATGTAGTCTACAGATAGGGAATTTATTGACAGTACTGGGGTTTGAACTCAGGGCCTTGCTTGCTCAGGCAGGTAGTCTGCCACTTGAGCCACGCCCCCAGCCATTTTTGCCTTGCTTATTTCTTGAGATAGGGTCTCGCTTTCTTGCCCAGCTGGTTTGGACCATGATCCTAGAATTTGTGCTTCCCCACATAGCTGGGCTGACAGGTACACGCCACTGTGCCCTGACTTTGGTTGAGATGGGGTCTCATGAACTTTTTGCCTGGGCTGGTTTCAAAACCATGATTCTCCCAATCTCCACCTCCTGAGCAGCTTGGATTCCAGGCATGAGCCACCGTGCCTGGCTTTGTTTTTCATTTTTGGGGCATTGCGGATCAAGCACAACTCATATGCTTAGCAAGAGCTCTTCCACTGAGCCACACCCCCTCCCTCTGGCTACAGGTATTTTGAGTTTTTGCCCTCTTTTTACATATTTTGATACTGTATCGGAAGCAATCCAGATACGTTGGTGGAGCCCCGTTTGATTAAAGTACGCTATGAAAGACCAGTCATTGACCTCCATTGTGCCTGCATCTGCCTCATGTCACTTCCTGTCACTTCCTGTCTCCTGCGGTCATCAGCTCTTCTTCACTACCTTTCTTTGCTATTCTTGATGGGCTTCTAGTAAATCTCAGTAGCATTCAGTTAAAAGGCCAAACATGGGGCACAGAACATTTATTTCCATTAGAATTTTGATAGTCACACAGAATTTAGAACACATTTTTAGTCCTGGTTACTCTCTTAGGCTGCTCATTTCACAGTAAGTGACTATAGAGACTGGAATGTCAACTGAAGTTTCCTGATACTCTTGAATTCTCAGTCTTGGTTCCAGAGAACATTTTTCAAGTGAAGGTTTTATTCTGCAGCAACCTCCGTCGCCCCTGTGTTGGTTGGCTACAGGAGGACAGTGGTGGTTTAGATGTGGTGGGTCTGAGACAGGCATGGATTTGATATCAGTTGGAGCAGACATGGTGTTGTAAGAGCACCTTGTCCTGAGTTGGCCTGGCAGTGCCAGGAGACTTTCTCCTGAGACCCTTGGCACACGAAGAGCTGCTGTTCATACTTGGCACTGTGTGAAAATGGAAATTTTGGGTTTTCTAACTTTGTGTTATTACAAATACATACATCAAAAGTGACACTAGAAAGATAGCCTCTGTGCTTAAGAGATACTAAATGGAGTCCAGTCTTCTTCCCATCCACTCCTGTCCCCACCCACCACCCACCAAAACCACATACAACCCCAAATCAAAATAAGGACATCATTCAGAAGAGCCAGCATCGTTACTAGTGGGCAGGAGATGAGGACTTCAACAGTGTCTGAATCACAGCTGCATGGTTAAACAGCCAGAAACTGTCCTGGTGAAAATTACTTCCTTATCCAAACAAGGCCCATGGAACATTCCATGTGGCTTTGAAGGTCAGAATAAACATGAGTGGAGTTGTCTTCTGCCTTTTGCAAAGTATGTAAGACTTTCAGAGTCACTCTTTAGTGACTCTCGCCCAAGACAGTTTTAGTTTCAATGTCCTTCAATTGGGGGTGTTCCTCCCAACAGGTCAAATAACATTTGAATCATTTCAAAGAAATGGAATAAGTGTTTGAATGTCATTGTGAAAGAAGAAAATCAAATGTCAGCAACAACCTTCACGTTAAAAATATGACATTGAAGCCACTCTGTTAGAGCCTGATTTTATGCCATGTAGCTTTTGGAAAATACAAAGAATAATGAGTTTTAGCAAAAGACTGATTTTCATGCATTTTGCCAACAGGAGACATAAGCAGAGTTTTTCCAGTAGTGACTAGCCATCTTCCCATGGGCACCCATACCCTCTGCTGTTTTTGGACAGGGGGGCTGGCACACAGGGATAGACAGGGCAGAGCATGTGTCTCTTGTGGCACCTGGCCCGTCCATTGTGGACGCTTTGATTCAGGTAACTGGCCCTTTTTCTCTGTTGCTTAGTTTATCATGCACACTTCATGCTTGCTGTGTGAACAAGCCAGTGGATCGTGTTCTCAAGACCCAGTTCTTGTGGCCACGTGCACCCTTAGTCTGGGACGGGGGAGCAGTTATGGCAGTGGCAGCCTAGTCCACGACCTTCTTGGACACATTGGAGATTTTTCTGCCTCTCCCCGGAGCCCTCTTCCACAGGTGTCTGCACGACCTGTTCTAGAATGAATTTCTTTGAGCCCCAAATCAACAGGTTCCTCTCCCAAAGTCTCCACTCCCCTCCCCAGATCTGACACGGTGTTTAGCACAGTAGTTATTTCTCTGTACTATTGGATGGTAAGCAGGGAATTAATCAAACTTGGTTTGTAGTGCTTAGAACAGTGAGGACGCCTCACTTGCTGAATAAGTGAGTGACTGTGCGGTGGTGCTTAGGGCTCTACATTCCTGCTTCTCACCCATGCTCATCTTTGGGAAGCCCAGTTGAATCCTGCTGTTCTGAATTCCCCATCTGAAAACGATGTGTGTGTGTGTGTGTGTGTGTGTGTGTGTGTGTGTGTGTGTGAACACAGGCTGCGTTTGTAGGCTGTGTTCTCTGCCTGCCGGGCAATCTGGAGCGGATTCTGGCTCTTGCGAGCATGTTTGTGGTTACAGAGGAAAATGAGTGTTTCTCACCCAAATGTTGTCATGTCATCGCTCTGTCTGGCAAGTGGAGGAGCAGATGTTCTGTTCCTTGACCTCAGGCTCATGGTGACAGTGCTGGGTGTTAAATTTATTTCACAGAGCGACTCTCGCATGTGGGAAGCTGCGTTTGGCGGTTAACTGCATGTGGCCTTACAGCTCAGCAACTTTAGGGACCGGCCAGTGGGGGACGCTGAGTTGTGTGAGTGTGCCTCTGTGTGTGTGTGTGACTGTATAGCACCCACAGAGCTGTGCATTCCTGTAGCTCGCTGGCCAGCTCTCACAAGACACATGTTTACTGAGGCCGTCAACACATCTACCCATGACAAAAAATAGCCCCTCCAACATTGCCAGGAACAAATTTCTCCTTTCTGGAAAGTGATTTTCAGCAGATAAATTTCAGTCAGAAACAGAATTCCAAAGAACCGGATTGCTGTGTCCTTGCAAAGACAACTTATTCATTCACTTTCAAAGGCTCTCACAACATGCCCCCCTGTGCCAGGCATGGGGCCAGGGTTTAGGGATCCAAACTTGACCCTGGAGTTGGGGCTTCCCACAGAGCTGGGTTGTTGGAACTCAGTGGAACTGGTAAGGCCAGAACCACTGTATACCAGAGCAAAGGGCCATGGCCCCAGTGTGGAACACTGAGCCATGGTCCTGGCGTTCTCTGTGTCACCAGCCTAGACAAACCACTTCTGTTTCTTTCTTCTGTAACATAAGGGTTGAATTAGATGAATTCTAGAGGCACAGAAGGCCAGGGGGAGGCCCAGGACAACAGTCAGATTCCTTCAAGCTTGGCCAGCAGTGATCCTTTCAGACATGCTCTGTGAATTCTCCACGCTGATGACAAATAGCACAGCAGCGTCATAGGGCTCAGTGTCTTTGTCGGGCGTTGACTTAAGGTTTGAAGGTCCAGATCCAGGGTCCCAGATGCAGGGAGGAAGGGGACAAACTCTTGTAAGGAGGTGGACCACACTCAATGGCTGTGGACGGTAGTCATCCTACTCTTGTGGAGGTCTGCTCACAGTAGACACTGATCCAGCCTTGGAGCCAGCTTCTGTTTGGATTTCTCTTTTTCTTCTTTAGTGGTAGATACCTGAGCTTGCCCAGAGTCTGTTATGGTCAGATCTCTGAAGGAGAACGTAGCAGGTCCATGCTGGATGCTGCAACTGTACCAGGTATGAGAGACAGACCTCTCAGGTGGTGCAGAGCCATGTCTGTCGCTTCTGAGGCCAGGCTCTGCCACAGAATCCTTAGGTCTGGTGATGCCCAGTATGGCTGAGTGGGGTTTTACCTACATCATTCCAACACCAAGCAGCTTTTTACCTACATTGTGGCTTTAGGATGGTCCTATCTGTTTTTTTGTTACTAGGGTTTGAACTCAGGACTTTGCGTTTGCCAGGCAGGTGCTCTACTGCTTGACCAAGCCTCCAGCCATTTTTGCTTTGGTTAAATTGGAGATAGGGTCTCACTTTTTGCCCAGGCTGGCCTGGACTGTTATCCTCATATTTAATGTTTCTTGATGGTGCTGGGATGACAGACACTTTGACAGCAGGTCCAACTTTTTTTTCTGTTGAGATGGGGTCTGGTGAAGTTTTTGCTCAGACTGGCCTGGAACCATAATCTTCCTGATCTCAGCTTCCTGTATGGCTGGGCTGACTGGAGTGCACCACCTTGCCCCAGCTATTAGTTGAGATGGGGTCTCCTGAACTTTTTGCTCAGGCTGGTCTCCAACTGTGATCTTCCCAATCTCAGCCTCCTAAATAGCAAGGATTACAGGCATGAGCCATGTGCCTGGCTTGGTATGTTCCTCTTAAACCCTGTCCTTTAACTCTTACTCTTCTTGGTGAAAAACCATTTCATCATTTTACCGGTTAAGGATAAACTGAAGATACTTAGGTGAGAAGCTTTCTTTCTCTTTCCTTTTTCTTTTTTAAATAAAGATCTATCTGAAATGTGAATTGATATGAAATTTGGGGAATTTGACATTTCTGAACATTAACATTTTCTTTATGTTTATTACTGGCTAAACTGTGAGAAATAGTTTTAAAGAAATAGCTAGTGTTATTAAGACTCTGGCTAATTAATTGAAGTCTGAAAATATTCCACCTTGTAATTGATAGAAGAAGAACTGGCAACTCCTCCACTAGATGGCATCATCCTTCCGGGGGTGACAAGACAGAGCATCCTGGAGCTGACCCGGGACTGGGTAGGTACCATGGACTTGAACAACTTCCATAAGCCCCAAGCAAAAAGTAATCAACACCAAGTGAGTCTCCCTCCTGGTTCCCACCACTGTTAGCGAATCTTTGAATCTTACCTTGAGTGAAAAGCATTCTCTAGAAGGACCTTCTTGGGGCAGACAGACAGAAACCAGTTGAGCAAGAGGTCCTGCCTCCCTTCCTGGCTGATGGTTTTTCTGCCTCCAGCCGACTTCAAGTTGAAGTGTATCCCACATTGCAGGATCACACACTCTTTCTTTTCCTTCCTTTTATTCCAGCATACCCATGCTGGTCAAAGAAATTACAGACTTGTGCCGACATATAAATGTTTACAAACATAACATTATTCATCTGGCCGCCTTCCGTTTCCCTCCACTGCCCCCTGATCATCCCAAGTTCATACCTGTGTTTATTTTAAAATTCAAACCCTCCAGCAGATGTAAAGTTGTCTGTAATAGACTTCAAATCCATGTGACACAGGCGCACGGATTTAACAAATTAACCTATTCATTATGTGAAATGACATAAAATTTTCAAGATAAATATTGAGTCAGTTGATTGCCTGGCATAAGTTCTTAGACAAACTTGTGGCCCATGTGTTCAGGTGGTCCCCAAAGACCATGAAAGGGCTTTGAGCATGTCAGACAGTATTAACGGACGAATGTTCAGAAACACATGGTCCTCTAGGAGAGCACCTGCATTTTCTCTGGAAAAGACTGAAAATGGAGGAAATGTGCTATAAATAATTCTAGAAAACTCAACGCAACGCAGACAAGACCCAGCTGCTGCATGCTGGCTGGCAGGCCCGGCATGGCGCTTCCAGACTGTTGGTGTGATTTCAAACAGCTTGCTCTGTCCCAAATATGCTTGCAGTTGGAACGATGTATTTTTGAGGCTCAGTAATTTCTGTTTTATTAAAGGGGAAAAGCACGTTCAGAAGGTCTGACGACACTCTGCAAGGTGCCCACGTCCCCATGCTCGTGACCGCCTTGCGCGGAAGTCCATTATTGCAGAGGAAGCTGTGCCTGACTCCTTAGCTGTAATTTATTTTACAAGCTAATTTCAAACAGTGAGATACAAAATGCCAAGAGGCAGTGGGGAAAGGGGTTACCACACTGCTTGCCGGACAGGGGAAAGTGTCCAAAGAAAAGAAAAAAGATGAACACAATAAAAGTAATTCTGTTTATTTAGAAGGGAAGGGACCTTTTTTTTTCCAGAACACAGAACTCAGCTTGTTTTCTGTCGTGAGCTGATGTTCTGGAACTTATTTAATGTAGCAGCATAACTGCAGCTGTCAGATTCTGAGGTGTGTCCACTGCAGGACACTGTGTGTTCTGTCCTTCCAACCTCGGGGTGCTGCCCCCCAACGGTTCTTCTCAGATTTTGACCCTTGCCAACGGCTTTATGTGGGATGGGTTTGCAGGTATTAAAAAAATACTCTTACTTTTATTTAAATGCATCCACTCTTAATTGCCCTTAATTCAAATATCCTGTTGGCAAATTCTGAACTTTAGTCAGTAAAAGGATGAGAATTTAAAGTTAAAAGAGTGAGTATTAAGCACATAGCGTAAATTGATAGCTAAAAAGCATCCGTTTTTCCCTGTTTTCTGCCCCTGAGTAAATATGATACTCCAGGAGTTCGGAGGAAGTCAGAGAGATTGCACCGCTAGTTCCGTGAAGAAACTCAACATAGTATAATATCAAAGAGAAGAGTATTACCATTATAAAGTCAGTCAGTTATCAGTGAGTGTAGAAAGAGCAACTTACATGTAATGCTGCTTCTCCCGTAATGTCCAAGTGTACATTCAATTTTTAAAAATAATAAATATTTCTGATACATGAACTCAGTCTGGTTTTTGACTTGAAAAAAGACTCAGTAGAAAGAGGACCGAATTTGGAGTCAAGAGCAAATGTAGCTTTTTAGTAGCTGTGTGACCTTGGGATGGTCCCCCCAGCCTTCTGGAACCTTAGCTTCCTCATCTATAAAACAGAGACGGTAGCCGTCTTTACAGTTGGAGAACGTGACATGATGAGTACGTGGTGGATGACAGAATCAATGGCTAGTAATACCCAACGTGTGCCTTGTTCTCCATCACGGTGACATATGTGCTTTAAGTAGCACTTGGAACGAATGTGAGACTTTATCCTGGTGACAATCAGAGTCACAGAGCAGGTGTGTATTAGAGCACACCGTGTATCCTGTGTCACTCATTTCACATTTTATATCCTGATAATTTCGTAGATAAATGCAACGGCCTTGAAGTAGCTTGCTTACCGCCTGGGAGCGATGGCCAGTAAGATGGTGAGCTGGCCCCTCCAGGTCCCTCCCACCGAGGGAGGATGCTGGCATTTGAGTTCAGTTGAAAAGTGCAGAGCAAAAAAGGAAGCTTTCTTTTTATTTCTGATCTTCCCAACAGGGTGAGTTCAAGGTGTCGGAGCGAGTCCTCACCATGGATGAGCTGACGGCCGCTCTGGAGGGGGACAGAGTGAGGGAGATGTTCGGCTCCGGCACGGCCTGCGTTGTCTGCCCTGTTTCCGACATACTGTATAAGGGCCAGGTGAGACCAGCAGCTCTCACACCCTGTCACTTCCCAGCATTTCCTGCAACTTCAGTAACTTTTTTGGTGTGTGCCTGAGATTCCAGTCAGACCCAGGATGCACACAGGGTTGTGTTATAACACGGGGTTACATTACCTGGGACAGGACGGTTTGTCCAAGTGGACCTGTAGTGGCATACTGCTACCAGCTTGGCAGTGATTTCATGGAGGAAGTCAGTTTTGTCACTGGCAAGTGTCATGTCTGCCCTACCTCAATTAGGGATTAGACTTCCGCTCTTGTCACCCTCCTCCAGCTCACTAAGGAGAGCTGCGCAAGCAGCTGGAATTGGGTTTTCAGGTTTCCAAAAGGACCTGCAAACTACTGAAACGGAACGACAACAAGTGATGGGGGACCCCTTTATGACTAGAATTGCTGTTCAGCAGGCCACTTTGCAAACAGTATTCATTTGGTAAACATTGGTGCATTTACTAAAATCTTGCAAACAAAACTCAAGGACTTGGTTGGAAGAGACATTCTCCTAGTGAATGAGTCTGGCTTTATTTGAGCCACACTTTCATGATCTTATCAAGTTTTGGCTTTTTCCTTCATAGCAAAGCTCCAGTGCTTGCACTGAACACGAGTGTGTCGTTCTCACTAAAAGACGTCTGAACTGGCTTTGACGACTCATTAAATATAAATCCCACTGGTTTTTAAGTTGCACGTGATAACTATTGTTCCTCTGCAGACTTATATTGACTTTTCTGCAGGCTTCAGTGGTGGCTGCTTCATTGCTTTCAAAGAATGGCTCCTGACAGAATTCCATCTGCAGAGTAACTGCTGGGTAGAATTATTCTACTTTATATCAATACTCCAGTGATTATAAAGCCAGTGTTTAGCTTTTTATTCTGAAGGCATCCAGGTAATGTTATTGGTCTTTATTAAGCAGAGTTGCCATTAGGTCAGATTTTTAAAAATTCATTTGTTATTTCACCTCTAGGAGTAAGTTTACAAAGTTTTTACGTCTCTCATGGTTCTGTGCTAGGAGTTTCAAGGCAGAGTCTCCCATTATCTTATTATACTAAAAGACCTAATAAGAAAAGTGTTTGAGATGCGGCCTATCTCCTGAAATCTAGCCATCAAAAGCCGGCAAGCTGTCAGGACATGAGTGGGCCTAACTCGGGTGGAAATTAAGGCGTGAAATCTCTTTCAGCCCTGACCTTACCCTGCTGCCCTGGGGAAGCCGTGCCCTTGGTGTAACTTGTACCATGTAAGGTTCAGAACCTCTGTCGTGGAAGCACAGACTTGCTTTAATTTATTTCCAAAATGACTTGCTTTAATTTGTTGCAAAATATCTTTAGAGTTCTCATTCCTCACCAGAAGATTAGATATAGAGGACAATTATCCATTCTTATAGGTTCCCAGAGTCTTGGGAAGCTCTGGGTTCTTATTCTTATCACTATTTTAGGATAAAATCGCTCTCCTTGCTTCCTGGTATCAGCCTGAAAACTGGTGCAAAAACCATTTGTGCCCTAAATTCAGTTGGTAGGAAATGAACAGCCTGGCTTTGTCTAGTCAGTTTTCATTCAAATTCAGAACAGGCAAGAGTCTGTAAGGAGGTAGCATGCATCGCAAATAGGGTACAGTGCTGCTCTCGGTTAAATGGGATTTTCCTGATGTCATCGAAATGCCACCTGGCTTGCCTGTTGTCACTGTATAAATGGTGGACATCCTCAAGTTCTCTTGTGTCTCCTGTTTCTTAGATGCTACACATTCCGACCATGGAGAACGGTCCTAAGCTTACAAGTCGCATCTTCAGCAAGTTGACCGATATCCAGGTAAAGATCTCTTTGTTTGAAAATACTACGTAAGGCCATGTGTGCAGCATGGGCTCAGCCCTGGGTGACTCCCCAACACCAAAAGATTAATGAAATACCACTTCATCTCACTCATGATTGAGAACCAAATCATATTTCCATGGAAAGATGAGGCTTGGTATTATAATTTAAGATCAGCAATTTAAATTTAAGGAAGATGTTCCTTGATAGCATGAGCTGGTATGAGCAAGGCAGAAATGAAAAAGAAAATACATGTTAAATAAAAAAAAAAAAAAGACCAGCTACCATTAGAGAAAACAAGTTACTTAACATTTAAAAAATAAATGTAAATTTTGATAACATTTAAAAGTCTTATTAAAGACAAACCATTTTTGTTTAAAAAAAAAAAATTTGAAAGTAGAAGAAAACCCAGGAAGGGAGGGATTGCCTGTGATTCTAACCCTGGAGTATGATGGCTGTTAGCTTGGAATGTCCACAGGTTTAATATTTTGTCAGCATCTATGTACTTACAGTCACTTTTTCTCATCAAAAGTCCTTTCTTACATAATTTTGCTACCTACTTTTTTCACATAATAAAGCCTTTGCTTTTTCACTTCAAGAAATAGTTTTCTCAGTAATGTTTATAAAATTCAATTGCGCTCCATCGTGTTGATATACCATAATTATCGAAAGAAACCATATTGTTGGGATTTTCCACTTATGAGCAGTACACACTTGATTATTTCCTTACGACAAATCCCTGGGATGGTAAGGGTCAGAGGACATGTACACCTTGTCTCTGCCTGTATTTTCTGACTGCCAGCTTCCTGTAACATCTCATCAGACAGTCAAGCAGGCTTGTCACATAGCAGACAGTTCTGGGCCATTTATAGAGGAGATGGTTCTGTAATTTGCAAATAATTTACAAGTTGTCAGAGGATCTTGTTGAACCCATCACTGCGGGTTAGTACCCACAGGGAGCAGGACTCATGAAAAATCAAATAAGGACTGACAGTTGAGTGAAGTTAGGTGGGACCGGCTTGTAAATTAAGCGAAGTTTAAAGTTGCTTGAGCTTGGAAAGGCTGTGGTGTCCACAGAGTCATCAAGGCCTTGGGTGGGGAGAGAATGGTGTTCTTTAAGACTCACTTAAATTTGTAGTGTTGAAAGGGAAGAATGGTTAAGGGTTTTGAGCTGCCTTCTACTCCTCGACAAGGATTTCTTATAAGAATTTTTCGTAAGCTAAAAAAAGGAATGTGTCAACATTGGAAGGAATAAAAATGTCACACAGAGTTGTGGTTTACCTTTGGTGGTACTGAGGCTTGAACTCAGAACCTTGTGCTTGCTAGACTGGCGCACTACCTCTTGAGCCCTAGCTCCTGGCTTTCCCCCTTTGTATACAGAAACAAAAGTAACTTGAGGACCGAGGAATGAAAATTGCTGCATTGATGGTTCAGACATTTTGGGTTTTTTCAGAGTATTCTGAGTAAACCTGTACAGTTTTGCTCAAAGAACACAAACAGAACCACAGAGTCATAACTGGCTAGAGTGATCATGACAGCCTTTGTCCACAGTTGGGGATGAGATTGTTAAGAGGGGAGGAGGTGTGGCCACAGGTAAGAAGGAGGGAAGATGGCTTTGGACGTGTTCCTGAACAAGTGCACGTTTGACAGCAGTTGGTACACAAAGTGACGTTTCAGGGCTACCTCTTGAAGAACACGTGAAATAGGGAAATTTAAGTCCGTTCCATGTGGTTGTAAAGGAGCAGTAGATGAGAAAACACGTGGTCACTGTTGAAACCTTGAACTCTATTGAATTGTAAGAAAGACCTAAGTAGGTGCTCAGGTGATACAGTCATGAAGCTAAGGATGGAGTGATAGGAGCGAAGCAGAAATGTGGCCCAGCAGCATTGAGATGGTGACAAACATGAATAAGAGAGAAGCCAAACACATTATTTTGGGACAAGTTGAAAAGCCATTCTGAAAGCCCAAAGAAAGTGAGTGACTAAAGAAATGTCCCTGAGTGAGTCACTCAACAAACGAGCTCATGGAATGGACTCAGTGTGTGGAGGCTGTGCCAGTGACATAGCAGTCCAAGAAAGGACAAAAAAAAGTTAAGGAAGCTGAAGCACACTGATCACAGTGAAGAGGGATCAACCCAAAACTCAGCGTATGTGAGGCCGTGGGAGAAAGTCTAAAGACACAGGGGACGTAGAGAATGAGACGGAATTTCCCTCAGGCCTTACAGTATCTATATGACTTAGTCCTGGGGCTGTCAACAAACAAGCATTTCTTTTAGTGAAGAAAGTGTGGTGGTGGCAATGCTGAAAACCAGTGATGCACCGGGATCCCTGTGCAGAGCAACACAGTCATAGGATGCAGGAGATGACACCAAGACTGTGAATGAACCATGGGCTCCAAACTGAGAAACGAACGGAGGATCGTCCTCCCACAGTCTGAGCACAGCCTTCTTCTCTTTATTTTATGTCACGTGCAGGGAACTGATGTCTTAGAATTACCCTCTTACAAGATGGCAAATTGGTGCTGTCAGCCAGGCCACTAGGCTGTCTGTTTCCAAGAAAATTCATTTCAGTAATTACCGATGAGCAAGCCTAGTGTTGCGTCATGGGTTCTTTTGGTCTCTTTGGACATTATCCGGAAACATGGGTGTTTCCTGCAAATTGCTCTGGTAAATTGAAGACGAGAGAACAACTGTCACCAGAAAATGACAGGCTCCTGCCAGTGCCAGCCCAGGGGACTCTTCTTAACTGCACATTTGATTTTCATTTTAACTTCTGTACTTCTGGATACGGGCTAAGTGTTCAACTCATTTAGCTAATTATCCAGACAGCTCCCAGGTCTTAGATTACTCTACAAATTCCTCCTAGGGGGGCATCGTTTCCAGTGCAAGGGTTATTTTTGTCTTTATCCTCCTTTTCTTTTTTTAGCCAACAAAGAAAAGGCACGTCTGTGTTCTCGTCTAACCAAACTTAAACTTACAGGACATTGGCCTTGCCTGCGATTCTCTATTACTCATTGCTATTCCAGTCACTCACCATCTTATTCTTTGTGCCTGTCCTTGGGGCCCTCCCTGTTGTACACTTGAGCCTTGCTTGTTGATGTCTTTACGACATCTTCTACAGTTTGGTCATCCGATGAGTCTCGGTTGTTCCTCGATACTCATCTCCTTTGGGAACCTTCTGCGTGTCTCTTGAACAGCATCTACCCCCACAATACAGATACACCTTCGCACTTTCTCCTCCTCCTTCCACAGTGTTGGAGTTGGTACCATCAAAGACCCTGCTATTATATTGTAATTAGTCACAGTCTCCTTTCTCTTGCAGAGTTATTGACTGTTGGAATTATTTTCTTTTTATGCAGCACAGGGCCTAGGTCATGGTATACAGGCAGCAACATTTCTTCAGTGAATGAATGAAAGAATTAACAGCTGAGTGAGAGACTTAAAAAAACCCCAAACAGGAAGAAATGTATTGCCCTAACAGGAGATAGGAGGAATGTCTTGATTAATGGTGTATCAGTCAGTTTTATGTTATTAAAATGAAATACCTAAGGCCACTTTCTTCATAAAGAGAAAAGGTTTGTTTAGCTCACCGTTTTGGAAGCTCAAAGTCCAAGACCAGCAGGGCTCCATGGTTTGGTCTGGGATGAGAGTGGCAGATGGCAATGACAGGCACGCATGTCAGAGCAGGTGCTCACATCTCGAGCTAGGAAGCAGAGAGGGGATGGGCAGATCCCACAGTCCCTTTAAAGGGGACTGTCCCGGGGACATGAGGACCTCCCACGAAGATCCACATCCTAGTGGTTCCACCACCTTCAGTAGCGCCACCCTGGGGACCTTTGGGGGAGACCCAACCAACATCCAAGCCATTGCAAATGCCACATTCTTTCCAGAAAATCCTTTCTAGTGGGTGACCCCTGGGTACCGTGAGTCCATCATGTAAGAGTGGAGGCCTGGGTCCTGGGCACCAGAGCTGGCAGTCTAAGTGCATTTCCACAGGGTCACAGTAGTGTCAGTTTTGGTGTTTAGAGCAGGGAAGGCAGGCAGGATGGGAGCAGGGTCCATGTTGACTGTGGGTCACTAGATAGAATCAAGTGTTTCTCATTTGTAGCTAAAGTGTTGCCAGTAGAGATCACTATGTGTGATTTCTTGTGTTGACCTTGCTCGGTTAGGTGTGAAAGCAGTCACACTCCTGGCCCTGTCCCTCCCAGCATCCTGAGCTGTCCTCCTGGATGCACAAGAACTCCTGTCCTCACATTTCTCAGGTGACCAGCTTCCTCAACCAGCTTCCCAATCCCTGGAAGCTCCCAGCACCCTCTTCTCCACATGTCACGAGATGACAAAGCTTGCCAGTAAGCTTCAGTGAGGCTTAGAGCAAAGATAACAAATTGCTACCTGGCGGGTAGCAATGATTATATTTGCGCTGCCTTTGTAGAGAGGGAGTATGGGACACACAGGTTGTCCTTACCTGTCTGTGGCCATGGATTTTCTGCTGAATGGAAAAGGCACTTAGTAAAGGCAATAGGAAATTATTTGTTATATGTGTCTGAATGTGAAGTGTAGGCTTGTCATTAGTCACGTCCTAGCGTAGGGCTCTCCCTGTGGGTTTGCAACACGGCTCTACAGACTTAACCTGAAATGCCACATCGCTTTGGCCCTGTCTCTGACCCAAGTGAGCACAGCTAACTAAATATCTTTTAGGGTGGGCTTGCCAAATGTTGAAGGTATGATCCTTTCCTTTTGGTTTATAGTGATAATGACAGTTGAACAGAAGGTTAAGCATCCCTAATCTAGAAATCTCAAATTTAGTACTTTCTGAGTGCCAACCCAATGCTGCACGTCTCGTGGTTCAGTGTCCAAAACTATATAAATACTGCATAAAATTACCTTCACGCTACGTATATAAGGTGTGAGACATAAGTGAATTTTGTTAGACTATCCTGTTCTCAGGGTACCTTGTTATATATATGTATGCATTCCCCAATCCTGAAAAACTCCAAATCCACAGCACCGGCCCCAGGCATTTCAGGGAAGGGAAACGCAAGCTGTGTGATGTCATCCTAGCTCATAGCACCATGGGTCCTCTTTCCCCTTCAAGGAAGGTGTATGGTTTTTAGCTCTATTAGCATCCGCTGTATCTATTTAGAATTACGGACTATCCATCAGCCAAATGGATAGTTTGGCTGAGTAAGTGTCTTGGTCTAGACATGGATCACCTGAGAAATGTAACATCACATTTCCTAGATAAACCTCAGAATGCCCTGTTTTTACATAAAAGTGTAAATTGCAGGGTAAGCGGGGTCAGATCTAGTACAGGCTCATAGAGCGACACAGCCTACTTTCGTCATCGTAACCAAAATTGGTTTTTGGGCACTTGTCGAACAACTAACTGAGAGTGAATTTACTTCGTCCAGTGGAACTCAAGAGGAAGTGGTAGTGTCACATACCATAATTCTGAAGATCACTAAAACGTCCATACACCCATCTCAACTGTTATTCACCGTAAAGGTGTCAGAATCCATGTAAGGAAAATAAACACAAACTTTACTCTTCCCTGAGGTCAGGTGGACAACCTACATGAGTTGGCCACAGCTTGGACATGTCAGGATAAGAACAGTCAGTCAGCAGGGGGGGCCATACCCTCAGCGGTTCTGTCTGGCATGGGTCAAGCCTGTCCTGCTGTCATTGGTCTCCTTCTTTCTTCATTTCCTGTAACCCACAAGGTGGCAGGTAGACCCATTCTTGATTCCCACTATACTCACCAATGTGACAGATTGTGCTTTGTGAGGTTTTTAAAACCCTTTAAGAGGAATGCAGCCCGTGTGGAGTGTGACACAGGGGAAGTAATGTCAAAGGCAAGGACCTGGGCTTGTGATTAAGAGTAATCCAGAAGCCAGGTGCCTGTGGCTCATGCCTATAATCCTAGCTACTCAGGAGACATAGATCAGGAGGATCATGGTTCAAAGCCATCCTGGGAAAATAGTTCGCTGAGACCCTATCTCAAAAAAACCCATCACAAAAAAGGGCTGGTGGAGTGGCTCAAGCAGTAAGAGCACCTGTCTAGCAAGCATGAGGTCCTGAGTTCAAACCCCAGTGCCACCAAAATAAAGCAAAAAACAAAAATGTGAACCAGAACTTTAGTGTCCTGTGTGTAAACTGACAAGCTTTGTTCATGATTTTGGATCATCAAAACTTTCTTCTTTGAGGACAATGAGGCAGGACGTGTGATCAAAGAATATTGTATACATGTATCAAAAGTTATACAAAACCCATTATTTTACATAATTAATATACACTAATAAAAAAGAGAGCAGGAAAGAAATCTTTCCTGAAATCCTAATATGCAAAACAGCTAAAAGTGGAATTGTCCTCAGATAAATAAAACCAAGAGCCCCCTTTATTTGGGTCATCTGCTATGTTTTATGTGGTCACTAAAATTCTTTCTGATTCAGAAATTCTGACTCATACAAACTTAAAGTTTCATTAGGGCTGAAAAAGGCAGTTCCTGTGAGAAGGGACAGAGTGTGAGTGATTCAGGCAGGCACGGTGACAGATTCAGTGGCCCTGGGGTACGAAGATCTCTTCCAAGACAGACTCCACTCACATGGCTTTTGTGAACAGGAGGGGCCAGGCAAGGTGATGGTCAAGAACAGGAATTGGGGCCTGGAGATGTGGCTTAAGTGGTACGAGCACCTGCTTTGTAAGAGAGAAGTCCTGAGTTCAAGCCCCAGTCCTACAAAAAAAAAAAAAAAGATAGGAATTGGACGTGCTTTGTTCTTTGTTCACCAATTGCAATCTTGAGCAGGTGGTTGAGCCTCCCTAATATTCAGCTTGCTCATTCATAAAACGGGGGTTACCATGAGGATTAAGTGCGACCCCAAGTCCTAACACCTGTCTGACTACTTGGAGACAGAGCTAGCTTTCCGTTTGTGGTGGAAAATGTCTTTGTTTCATTAATTCAGTTTTATGTATTAAAGTTCAGATTTGCTTTTAAAAGCACATTATTTTCCAGTAACCAAATTCTGTCTCTGATATTAGTTATATAACTTTTGAAGTAATCAGGAAAGTTGGGGTGCTAACAGTGTCATCGTGACTTCACAGATGAAAGAAAGTCTGCTAAGATCAATGACGATTGTCAAAAATAGTTAATATTTTTGTGCATGAACATAACATGCTCTTGGGCGCACATCAGAATCATCTGGAAGTGTCTGTTGAGTTGCAGGTGGCTGGGACCCATCCCCAGAATTTCTGATTCTGTAAGTCTGAGGTGGGGCCCAGAATTTTGATCTCTCACATGTCACCAGGTGATGCTTGTGGAAGTGACGTGGAGGCTGCACTTTTGTACAGAAAACACACCAATAGTTAAACAACTTAACTTGGTCCCTCTTTTCTTTATTTTGGTGGTGCTGGGATTTGAACTCAGGGCTTCATGCCACATCTGCAGTCCCCACCTACTGCTTTTGAGAGCAGGATGCTGCAGATGGTGGTGAAAAGAGAGAGAAACCACATGTCTACCTACTACACAAAGGACGCACGGCAGCTAGGAATTTCAAGTTCAGTAATAATTATAACATTGTGATTCTTCCCAGTGATTTCCTTACGTCTGGGGCTCCTCCCTTTTTGCGATGTGTTTTTCTGTCCCTTCCCACCTTCCTGTCCTCTCTTTCTCGCTAATGTTATTTTTAATGTAAATAAGTAGCTTTTACTGTTCAGGACAGAAGTGAGCCTCTCTGTGGCTTTGGCCGGGTGAGGTTTGTTTATAAAGGTGTCATTGCACGGCGACTTTTTATACCGACACTGTTTTCTTCTTTGTGTTGCAGTATGGGCGAGAAGACAGTGACTGGACAGTCGTGTTGTCCTGAAGGAAGAGCTCGGTGTCAGCTGGATGCTGTCGGGATGACCGCTTCGATAGATTTCCTGTCGTTTGCATTATTAGTGTGTTAGGAAGTTGATTTTTCCCCCTTGTGCCACAGAAAATGAATTGTAATCATTGAATGGTGTTCTGTAAACTTGGTAACAATCACTTGCCTTTTCTCAAAAAGATAATGGTGCAAGCCATATGACCTGGGTGGAGCTCCCCTCAGTGATCTGAGCGCCCCCGTCATCCTCCACTCAGACCAGAGGTGTTCCTTCCTTCGGTGACATGGTGGCCCCTCCACCAGGCTGCTGTGTGAGTCCCCACGCTGGCTCCAGTAAGTGTCACAGGTGATGCCCCTGACGTGCCTCCTTATCCGCAGAAACACTCAGAAAACATTTTGTTGTTTTTTTTTTTTAAATCAAGATTTAGAAAAGCTGGATTTCCTTCTGTCACATGTTTTTACAGCTCCCTAAATTTGTCTTAAAGTAAATCTGTCCCTCTTCCAGTGTCTCAGTGGGCTCTGTAGAACCTGAGCACATTGTCATCAACCCATCCCTCATGGGGTTGTAAACTGCCTGTTCACCAGGCCGCCTTGAGATCCGGGCCTTAGGCCTTACAGACCTTTGTGTCCTGCCCCAATGCCTGGCACACAGTAGGACCCAGTAAACGTTCAATGTGTTGGTGGAATGAGCGAACCAACGCTTAGCGTCACCTTCTGTTTCTGTTTGACACAACCCCTTTACTGGAACTGGTGACTGGTTGAGATGGTGTCGCTCACATCAGACTGCCTGTATTTCCCATAGAAAATGACTCTCCTGAGTCAGCAGAGATAGTGGCATAGTGAGTCGCGGGAATCGTTTTGTGTTTGAAGACTAGCTTGTAATTGATAGACTTCATGATACCGTCGCCACCAAGTGGAATGGCAGATGTATGTTAGGTGTCGAAAGCAAACTAAGTCAACTGGGGAAGATGAGGGGTGTAGGTGGAGGGGCTACTCTGGTGATTGGGTGAACACTAGTTAGGGAACTGGAAGAGCAGTTACAGATGAGTTTTCCTCATCGAGGAGCTTTTACATCCTTCCCTGGCTGACCTAGGACAAAGTCAAATCTTGATGGAAACATTTCCCCTTGGAAGGTCACCTCAGGCACTGTGGTTTGGTTTCCCTCCATCCTAATAACTTTCATCCTGCTGATTGCATTTCACTCTCTTCTCAGAGCAAGTGAAAAGACACCGCAAAGGCTCAGTGCGCTGGGAAGTTTTCCTTCAGGCTTTTAACAACACAGGGTAAACTGGCTTTGATTCTTTTCCAGAACTTTTAGCTGTGGGGTCTTTTTTAGACAGGAATGCTAAAATGAAAACAAGAGGAGGCTCAGATGAAAAGGACTGGTGAAAAATATCTTTTAGGGGCTTTTAATTGGGGTCTGAAGTCCTGGTGAGTCTGTTCTCTCCAGTCCCGGGGCGCTCTTGACTCTCCTGCATGTCCCCACCTCGGAGCATTCAGAGGGGAGGTTTTTGTCTTTGCTGAATCCTAGGACCTCATTCTTAATTCAGCAGCCTGGGAAGACTTTCAGGTGATTTCAGCCGTCAAGCAGCAGCTGATGACTAGACTCGGAGAGAATCTGAGCATTTCCTAAGGACGTTTCTGAAAGTTTACGGTGGTCGCAGTCACTTAACTGGGCTTCTGCTCGTGAAGAGTTAATGCCTGGAATGCTTTCTGTGCTCGCTGGTGCAATGTGGCCTGCAGGAGAGAATGAGTTCATAAGGCCTGCTGGGGCCTTTGGTCTCTAGGGGACGAAGGGAGAGGGAAAGAAACGACTGGGAACCCTTGTTAGGGAATCCTATTGTCCTACCTGATAGACTGCTGTAAAAAACAAGCAAACCAACTCTATGGTGAAACATAGCATCACTTCTCCGTCACAAAGATTCAGGCAGCCTGTGTTATGCACCCCGGGGTACAGTTCTCCTCCCTATTAGTTTTGTTGCTTGATAAAATCCGCTCAGCGCTCCATCATGGGATTCTGCTGTCCTTCTGTAGAATTGAATGTTGTGTTTGGCGTAATCTCAGGACTGGGGAAATGTCTGTTCAGTTTCAGAGAGTGGTATCTTTTGAAATGTTTAGAGCAATAACTATCCACCAGTTGCACCCGGCAAAGGACTTAGGGGGTTCGAGAAACCCCTTATTCATGTCCTAATTCTAAATATGATAAAGGAAACCCTTCCTCCCATGTGGATATGCAGAAACTTTGGTTACAGATACTCATGCCAGCAAGTAATTTTAGTGGGTGTTTTATTGCAACTGAAACTTTGTTTTGCCCCAGCACATTTTGCTCAGTGGTCTTTGTTCCAGATTCCCTCCCTCAGATGCAAAGGGTACCAGCCCTTCCATATGCATTATGAATTGTTGGACGAAGGTGGTGGGGATTATTGTTTACTTATCACCCGTTGATCACCCAGAAATACGCACCCAACACAACCAGCACTAGAATAGGAAGTTAGCTCTAGAAAGTAAACAGTACACAGACATGATCTCATTAGGTTCACGATCTAATTACTTAATGAATTTTATATCTAAAAGCAGTATTTACTAGTTAGGTAATAGAGGCCTGAGCTCATCTCTCCTCAAGAAATCACAGGGGACATTTCATCCCATTTTGGGTTTTTTCCCCACCCTATGTCTCCCCATTCACGATACAGACCAGGTGCAGGGTCGGGCTGAGGTGTATGTAGGGTGGTTTCTCTTTTCCTCCTTCTGTGCAGTCAGTGTGAGAACGGCCCATGCTGAGCCCCGGAGGCCTCATCACATTTCTTAAGGAAAATTGTCCTGTTTCCACACTTTTCCTCTAGTGCAAAACTACTCTGGAAGGATAGCATTTGGGTTGTCCACCCACTGTGTGTGTGTGTGCAGTGCCACTGTCAGGCTTCTTGCCTCGTGCATTTGCTGTCTGCGCTGTTCTGAAGTGAAGTTCATCTGACAGCATCCTCACTTACCTCCATAAACACAAAACCAGATTACACTGAAACAAACACGGTGATCCTAGGGTGAAGTTTGCTAGGACAGTCTATCATGAATCAAGCTCTTTAAACTCTTAGCTGGAAGGTGTTGGATCCAGTTACTCAGAAAATAACTTTCACATAACTGTGGCTTTCACAGTTTGAGGTCTGAACAAGAAAGGCCATTTCAATATCGCCAGGGGTTCGTTTTTATTACTATCAAAAAGCCCCTTTAAGAATGCAGAGGTAGAAGGTAATTTGTTTTTCATCTTCAGCACACTTTCCATAGTAAAAGACTTATGAGCTGTTTAGTTTGGGGAGATTGATCATGAAATATGACGATAAATGATAGAAGCGTTTGAGGTTAAAGAATTCCCTGGGGTCTGACAGATACAAAGAGTTGCTTTAATAAATGATAAAAGCATGAAATTCAATCTTAGCAAATGAAGTGCTTTTTAAAATCTACTGTCTGACGGTAATCTTTCCATGACAAGATGCCGAGCCTAAGTTGCATAGTGTTCAGCTTCTGTGACTGTCTGCTGGGATGGTGACAAGTCACAGGAGGTGGCACAGGGCTGAAGTGAATGCAGTTGGACAGGCAGATGTTTCTGCACAGCCACGGTCACAATGGCGAGGTTCCTTGTTGCTTATTATTGAGTTATGGAAAAATTAATGAGGGAAGACATCAGAGGAAGGCACGTGAAGGTGACGAAGGGAAAGAGCAATGGGGGCAGCGACCAAACTTGCTTCTGCGCTGTCAGCGTGCGGGGCAGTGGCATCCTCAACCTTCAGTGTGGGTGCCAAGCATAAGTTGTGCCATTTGGAAGAGACTAATGCTTCTGGCCTGTCCATCTGACCTTAGGACCAGGCCACAGTCTTGAGTTTATAACGTCAGGGCTGTGGTAAGTGGAAGTTCCTGTAGAGTGCTGCCAGTGTAGGTGAGTTTAATTGCATGACCTGTGAGAGCTACCTGCATCGTTTCTTCAGCCATTTTATCCTGAGATTCATGAGACTTCTTAATGCCAACTAATAAGTAACAAGGAGTGGATCATGACTTTCTCTGTTAGAAATACTATTTTTCACCAACCCCCTTTAGCCTTGGTGAACGGCAACTGACTTGGACATTGATCAGTCTTTAGTTTATAACTAAAATGTGATAACACATTACAGTCTCCTCATGCTAGTTTTGCAGGGACACAAAAGTCATTCTCAGAGTTAAGAAGCAATGCAAATATCCTCAATCACTGAGAAATTTTGTAAAAGTGCGGGAGCTTTCTAAAGAGTATGGCTGTACATAGATTTCAATCAGTTCTTAAAAATACAGTAGGGAGGCTGAGGCAGGAGGATCATGAGTTTGAAGCCAGCTTGGGCTACATAGCAAAACCTTGTCTCAAAAAAAAAAAAAAATTAAAATAAGCTAGCTAACCTGTTTGCATCTGTCAAATTCTGCAGATGTTGCCCTGGTGATGTGACAATGAATTGTCCCACAGTCAGCTGATACTTGGAGCTGGGGCCTCTTTGATTTGGCAGGTGAGGGAAAACAGGGAGAGAAAGATTTCAAAACAGAGCTTGTATTTAGGAACGATATCAACTTACCTATGGGATGTTTAGAACCTGCTCCTCAGCATCAGAAGCTGAGGGCAGTTGCAATTGTGATGAAAAAACCTGGCCACTGCCACCTCTCCAGTTTCCCTAGGTGTGTAGTGACTTGACATTCCCTGTAAGAGAAAGTAAGTAGATAGAAGGAACTAAACGCTTTGTAGATGGGTGTTGGCTTTCATGAGAGCTCATCCGAAGGTTACGTTGAAAGGATGGAAGGTGACTGCAGGGTAACCGGGGGAGTGCGGAGAACACAGCAGGTAAAGGCATCTACCTCATCCTTTGAAGGTTTTGTAGAAGCACAATTCAGTGTTCTCAAGTGACTTTGCTGTATTTGTGTCTAAAGGACCCTGAGTAATTGTGTACTGCTGGCCACAGACACAGTCTTTATTATTCGAAGATTCCTCATTCAATCTGTGATTATGCAGCTGTCGTCAATAAAACAACCTAAAGGAACCCTATTCGCACAGTCTCG